ATAATTCCTCTCCATAAAAAAGGTAGTAAGTCTGATGTAAAAAATTATAGAGGTATAGCAAAGTTATCCGCTATTCCCAAATTGTTTGAGAAGGTTTTAACTCCGCACTTGCAACATCTCTGCAAGTCACTTATATCTCCAACTCAGCATGGATTTATAAGGCGGCGATCAACCACCACGAACTTGTTAGAGTTTACCTCTTTCATTATTAAAGGCTTTCAAGGTAACTTACAGACGGATGTTATTTACACCGACTTTAGTAAAGCATTCGACTCTGTAAACCATTCCCTTTTAGCACATAAACTTGACCTTTTAGGGTTTCCGCCCAACCTCCTGAGATGGATTTCTAGCTATCTTTGTTCTAGGTCTCAAAGAGTCCTCTTCAAAAACTCCCTCTCTTTACCAGTAAAGGTTTCTTCGGGAGTACCACAGGGCAGCCATCTAGGCCCCTTACTCTTCACACTCTTTATTAATGACTTGCCTTCAGTAATAACATACTCTCGAGTACTTATGTATGCGGATGATGTTAAACTCTGTGTCCAGTACAAGGACATTTCATTTCATTCTCGCTTGCAATCCGATCTCAATAGCTTTCAGTCATGGTGTTGTGCAAACTTGTTACACCTTAATGCCTCGAAATGCAAAGTTATGACATTTCATCGTTCTAACCCTTTGTTGGCTCCCTACACCCTATTTGGGGGTTCTCTTGAGAGAATTACCCTGGTGGATGATCTGGGTGTTATGTTAGATCCCAAGTTAAAGTTTTCCGAACACATTTCTACCATGGTAAATAAGGCCATGGGCGTGCTTGGGTTTATAAAGAGGTGGTCAAAGGAATTTGACGACCCCTATATAACAAAGACTCTCTATACCTCGCTTGTTCGTCCGATCTTAGAATACGGCTCCTGTGTATGGTGCCCTCAGTACAAAGTACACCAGGACCGTATAGAATCAGTACAGAAAAACTTTTTACTCTTTGCTCTGCGGGGCCTTAACTGGGATGCGGGTGTAAGACTCCCATCTTACTCTAGTAGACTATTATTAGTAAACCTCCCATCCTTAGTTAACCGTAGAAAAATGCTTGGTGTGATATTTATGCACAACTTGATCAGGGGTGACATAGACAGCCCTGATCTGTTGAGCCGCATAAACTTCACGATTCCTATTAGACTGACTAGAAACTTTATACCGTTGTTCCTTCCACTTTGTAGATCGAATTATTCCTTGCATGAACCGTTTAGGGTCTTATGCTCGGACTATAATTCCCTCTACCATATTATATCCTCCACTAATTCTCTTCCTCTTATTAAATTACTAATCCTTACACACCTCTCTAGTAATTAGTAATTGTAGTGGTATTTGTATTTTGTATTTTATTGCATGCTTAATTTCTTAATAAGTTTAGTGCTAATTTTCCTCGAAGGTTAGTCTAATATCTATCTTTCTTGCATGCTCGCGTTTGGTTCGGCTACGCACCGCGCGTCATGCGGCAGCGCCCCTCGGTCGGTTGGGCGGGAGGAGGGCTGCGTTTTGCCTGGGATCCGCGCGTAACAGCCTTCTGCTGGTGTCACACGGGCCACTTGACGGTGCAGTAATTGCATCGCCTCTTGTTAGATGCAGTCATTGCATGTCAACGTCCAATAAAAAAAAAAAAGGACGAAAATCGGGGGCATCCACAAATCTCAGAGACTATTAAAGCTAGAGTAACCAAATTTGGTATCCACACTCTTGTTAGATCTCACTATAAAACGATTTTTTTCAAATTTCGCCCCACCCCCACAAAAGACGAAAATCTGTGGCATCCACAATATTCAAGATAGGAATCTATGAGATTGCTGAATCTGGATCAGATCGGATCATTTTTATGGCCAAAAGGAACAAAAAAATTATTTGCAGTGGCTACGCAGCGCCCACCGACACGTTCAGACACGTTTTCTGTCTCTCCCGCACGCACACATTGTCGCTCAATGTGACCATACTGACTAAGTATCGGGTATAAATGTAGAGTTTCGGTTGCCGCAGCAACTTACAACGTTACCCCAAGAAGAAGAAAAGTGAAAAAGCGAAGAAGTGAAGACGGATGAGTTGGTCCGATTTATTGCTTCTTATATTGGAATTAAAGTAATCCATCGATGTTGTCAAAATCAAACATCGATTGATACATCGGATTGATTCTACGATGCATCGATGTATGACCGATGTTTCAAAACTTTCCCATTTGATTATAAAACGAATATTCAACAAAGGAAAAATGAGCTTTCATAGCAGTCTTTTACATATCATAACATAAAAGAAATTATTATGTTTTCATAGCAGTCTTTTACATATCATTGTATAGATTTTGTATAAATTAGGATAGGTACTTTTCATACCGTCCCAAAAACACGAAGGATTGCTTTCAAATGAGGCAGGCATTGCTGTGTTTGCTGCTTACAGATTTGAAATTAAACGATCGATGTTTTGCAAAACATCGGTACAGGCAAAAACACCGGAAAACATCGGTAAACATCGGCAAAAAAACATCGATGCTCAATGCATCGATGTGTTTTTACATGACTAGTAAAGACTATACATTTCCAAGATGGCATGAAGGGCCAAACTGCTGTTTATGGCGGGGTTCTTTACGACGCCGCACAGACAAGGGAGCGGGTGGGCTTTCAATACTAGATTAGGACTGCGCCTTACCAAAGACTGTGTATTTTTCGAAAGATTCTGGGACGAACGGAGTGGGCGGCGGAGCCGCGGCCAAGGGGAATGATAGCCTAAAAGATAATTTAAAACCTAAATTTTGGGTAAAATTTTCCAGAGAAACAGAATCAAAGCTGATCTCAAAAATATCTTGGTTTTCTGGTTGATGAGTCAATCGGACAAAAACTTAATAAATGTGCAAATACTCGTATGTATGTACGTATGTTTATATACATATGTACATATACATACATGCTTACAACTGGAAATATATACATATAACTATAATATATTATATATATATATATAATATAGATACGTATGTATATACATATGTACATAAGATACCGGCAATATCCTGGATTCCTTCTTGTCTTACATTTATTAGCAACTCGTGCTAGAAACATTATTGTGTATATATGTACATATATAATGTAATAATAGATTGTTAATGTATATATGTATCTGCATTTTTGTATTTTTTTTTGTATATATGTATGTATATTCATACATAATTAATTACCCAAATCTACGTAAGATATTTCAATTTTTCATACGTACATACGCATACAGACGTGGGTCAAATACCTATGTGCATGTAGATATACATATACATATGTACATATTTTTGTATAAATGTATGTCCGATAAGATAATAAAATAGCGCTAATCATACACCAAATATCGTGATGTATGTACATACGATAACGCATATGTGGTTATGGATGTACATACATTATATACACATACACATGTATATTTGATCATGGATACATGTGCATATGTATGAATAGTAATGAAAATACATATGTATAATTTTAGTTATTTCAGATAGCTCCTATTTTTCAATTCTTACAACTTACATTTCGTCAGATCGCAAAGACCGCGTTGATGATTTTAATTCATAAAATTCCACATTCTCAGAACTGCCTGCTACAGTAACATTTGGTAGTAGATCCATATTGTCGTTGTCGTTTAGCAAATTAAGACTTAAATCGTCGAACTCCATATCAAAGCCTAGATCAATTCCCGACTCAGTCATGTTGACGACAATAAATTAGTACGTAAGCACACGAATTATTTTGAAAGCACAATTCTTTTTGGCATACGTACGCATACGTACGTAATTATATTGTAACTAGTAGAATTCGTTTTCACATATTCGGAAATCTACGCACAACACAACGCGTCATCACAACTACAGGCGGATCCCCACAAACGAATACATGCAACTTCCACAACCAACTGGAGCTTTCAATAGCGGTGAGCTGAACGAAAAAATAGGAGTAAGTGATCGCACCATCGTTTGGTTTAATTTTTATTTAAAATTTTATTGTGTCCGAAATAATTATGAAATCTATCCTTTCACTTATAAACATTAGTTATCTACTTAGTTTGGACGATGAAGTAACAAAAATTAAAAAAAAAAACCAAATCATGTACACTTTTTGATTGCCATTTGACAGAGTCGTACTTTGGCTTAAAAAAATGTAATATACATATAATAACATAGCAGAGAAAAAATATAAAAATAAAAGTATAAATGCATGATATATCTATGAGTCTCAAAGCTGTAAATAGTTTTAATTGTTCATTGAATTTGGGAATGGAAATATCTAAACTTCGATTTTCGATAGATAAATAATCGACTCCGGTCTTCAATTCTTCTACGTGTCATTAATTTGTTATTATTTAATCTACAGGTAATCGCCTATTTTAGGGGCAACCTTTTGAGACGGAAAGCAAAAATAACAGTTTTCAAAATTTTCCAGTGTATTTAATTTTATTATATTTAATAAGTAAGTAAATAATATTACTATAACAATTAAATAACAGTTTGCTTGCGTTCCTTTTGATAGTTTAGTTTGTAATTTTACTTTTGACTGATAGGGAAAAACTGCTTGTGTCAACAGGCACCTGTTAATCGACTCATTAATTTCAATGGCAAAAGAGTGTTTTATTGAAGTGAATAAGTGAAGAGTGAATATTGTTGCGAGCAACGTGCACAAATGATTCCGAGTGTCCTGGACGCCCAGGTCTCTAAAACCGAAACAATTGAAGAAATTCTTTATATGGTGCTGGCCGATCGGAGATTGAAAGTGAGAAGAGGACTCTGTCGTTTCAATTTTGCACGATAACTTCTGTTTGAGAAAGCTTTCCGCAAGATATTTGCCGCTTTTGCTCACAATCGACCACAGTGTCGGCATGACAAAAATTCATGAAATTAGCTACAAATTGCTTCCTCAATTGTCAAATTCCCTGGATTTATTTCGGGGGTCTATTTCTTGTTTACAGCCCCCAAAAAAATGGCTCGGTAGAAAGAGAGTTGATTCCAATCTCACCATGAAATGTCTATTTTGAGAAATTATTAATAGGATACAGCCAGGCTCTGTTTTTCACTTACTTTTGCGAACAGCTGACCTGGTAAGAATAACCTGATTAATACCAGGCTTAGATGATGACGAATGTTCTACAGGCACAGAACTAGGCCCATTTGGCTGCGGTTTTACCGCGTATCGGTGAAGCAAAATATTATGGAGCACACTCGACATTTGACCTTGCACCATCGAACCGTTAAACGCATTAAACGAATGACAATTGCTTATGGTATGATTCTTCACATCTCGCCTATCCGTCTTTGCACATGAAAATGAAGATTTAGTGTGTCCTTTACTTGTCTCTTGTTCTGTTTTTCCCTTATTCCGTATTGACTCTTCAGCAGCTAGATGGTGATAGCTGCGATTCAACTGGGATGCGCAGTCGGACCAAGATGGTAGCTTATCGTAATCCAGTTGCTCTTCGAACCGAGACTTCGTTGTGGGAATTATCATCGCGCTAGTTATGTCTTTCTCACTTCCTTACGACTGCAGAGAGGAATAGATGGCTGACACCGTGTCAATGATGTACCTAAGGCATGAAGCAAAAGGAGTTGTTGTGCTGGGAATGTCAAACAACTGCGAGACAGTATCAGAAGAGATCAAATATGTTTTGTCGTAAACCTCCTTCAAACTATAAAGAGCTTTCTCATAATTGTCTGTCAAGATTCATACTTCTGTCCAATCACGTTTTAACACTCACAACTTTGATTCCGATTTTAGGATACCAACCCGTTTATGTTGTTCTGTAATTAAAAAGCGTGCAAAAATCAAAAAAAAACTTTTACTTGGAACAAACTCCCGGGTCTACCAATATAATAAGGAGAAACATGGTTTTAGGGTTTCCACTGCGAAAAGATATAGGAAACCGTGGTAAGTTTCGACAGAAATGTATGGCACGCACTTTTTGTATTGTGGTGCAGTCTGCTATAGCCTGCAGCCTGTGAGCGTACATATACATATACCAAATGCACATTATGTATTCCTATGATTTATGTAACATACATAACAGCCAGGCTCCGTTTTTCACATTCACAAAAGTTTTCCGATTTACTTCTGAATACACATAAATTGAGGCTCCCGTTTTCACATTCCGCAAGATTTATTCGTTTTCAAAACGAAAACATTTTCGTTGACGAAATAAAAAGTCAACGGCATTTTATATAATGAAACGAATCTTAATTGCAAAAGGAAAAATATAGATGACTTATTGATGCATTAAAATAAACTTGACACCTATATCAGGGTAATTTAACTTTAGCTTTCTTTCTGAATAAGTAACTTCTAATTAGTCTCGGAAAAAATTGGCCGGGGTGCAAAGACCAAAATATGTGAAAACTGGAGAACATTAAAACAAAAACAAAACGCGTTAGCTGAAAACGTAATCCGCAAAAGTAAATGAAAAACGGAGCCTGCCTAGGATAGAGAGTAAAATTGTGTGACTATCGTAAGAATTAAAGTGCAAATGAGTTGATATCTTATTTGTATTTCGGTTAGTTAAAATATGATATAAAAGCGATACCTATATCAATTCGTACGAAAATTTGTAAAATCCAAAGTATGGTTGATGAATACCCTATAGATACTATCGAAAGACTTCTAGGGAAAGAATTGATACAAGTTTGACTAACCTATCGATATAGCTATTTATATAGGGATGCACATGCATACATGTATATATGACATACAAAGTTATGTGTGTGCATTCGTATCGATATTTCCTTCTACAATTGTGTAGACGAAGATTTTTTTCGTTTAATAGCAAGTGAATCGACAATTTAATTCCTCATGAAAGAACTGAAATTTTGCTATTTGTAGCTTCACGTAAGTTTACCTTATTTAAATATACAACAATTTTGTTCCCTAGCTGCCGGCAATTTTTGGAAGAAAATATTTAAGTGGACATACACACATGCGTACGTACGTATGCAGACACTGCCATATATGCATATGTATGTATGCAAAATTAAAATATCAACACATTTTTAAACAAGCAAACGAAAAAATAAACATTTACGGATGTATGTAGATGTAACTCTGTTTTGGCGTACTTTAGGTCCTTATGTATATTTATTTATTGATTAATATATCATATGTATGTATATATGTATACATATATGCATACATATGCACATATATGAATTCCATGTATAAATAAACATATGTTAAATATGTATACATGCATATGGTTTTGGTTAAAAGTACAATTATTCTTAATTAATTTACCTTTTTAATGATTTAAGACAGACAAGCATTAGCCAGCCGCAATATGGATAAAAAGATCTCTTCGACGTCGCAACCGCGAATTTTAAAAAAGAAGCATTTCAGAGTAAAACATCAAAAAGTAAAACTGTTCAGAGCCAATGAACCGATTCTAAGTGTATTTATGTGGGGAATAAACCACACTGTACGTTATCAAATTAAAATCATAGAATTATTTAATAAAAACAATCATGTGATCTTTCAGATAAATGAATTAAGCCATGTAAATATACCAGTGATGCTTCTCCCAGATGACTTTCGGGCTTATTCAAAAATTAAAGTGGATAATCATTTATTTAACAAGTAAGAGCTTCGTAAAAATGATATTCCCTTGTAAACATTTTGTTACTTAAAACTTTGATTTGACATAATCCATTAAAACCTTAAAGCGTTATAGACTATCCGTACAGGCAATAACTTTTTTAAATTGCTCTATTAAAATGTTTAATTTATTAAATTTTAAGGGAAAATATGCCGTCACATTTTAAAGTTAAAGAATATTGCCCCCTAGTGTTTCGCAATTTGCGAGAGAGATTTAATGTTGATGATGTTGATTATCGCGAGTCGATGACTCGTTCACAGCCGATACGGATCGACTCTTCCGGAAAGTCTGGGGCACAGTTTTACCAGAGTTATGACAAGTTTTTTATAGTTAAAAGCTTAACATCAGAAGAAATTGAGCGTATGCATGCCTTTCTAAAGCATTATCATCCGGTGAGTAAAATGTTGTTTAATAATATCAAACAACTGTATAGATTTTGTTCTAGTACGTTGTTGAAAGACATGGAAAAACTCTTTTACCTCAATATTTGGGAATGTATCGGATCACTGTGGAGAGCGTGCAATATTATTTTGTAGTCATGCGGAATGTTTTCAGCTCTCATTTGACAATTCATAAGTATGGAATCGTATTGATCGTTGTTTCGCCCATTCGTAACCATAATTATAATTTTTATAGAAAGTTTGATTTAAAAGGTAGTACTGTAGATCGTGAAGCATCTGAAAAGGAGCTCGAAAAACATTTGCCAACATTCAAGGATAATGACTTTATAAAACAGAAGGTCAAGCTGGAAATTGGAGACGAACCAAAAAAGAAACTAATGGATACTCTAAACAATGATGTGGATGTAAGCATACTAGTTATGTATTAAAAAAATTATTCTTATTCAATGCGAATATGATACGAGATATTAAATACTCACGGTTTTTATAAGTTTTATCATTAAACAATTAAGCATCTAATACAAATACATATGTGTATACTCTACCAGGTATACGAAAAATGTCGGGATGATAACTTAAAACTTAATGCTACATGATTTTTTTTTATCAAACTAATATTTATATTGATATAGCTGCTTACCAAGCTGCACATCATGGACTATTCATTGCTGGTTGGTGTACATGACTGTGTGCGAGCGGAAGAGGAAGCTTTGCAGGGAGATAATATCCAAGCTGCTGGACGCAGTGAAAATAGCGAGAGCGAGGAGTGCGATAGTGGTGAACGGTAATTAGAATCTTTAAATTAAGTGTGTTTTTATTGATATGTGTTTCCTTTAAGCTGGACGTACAACACGCCTCCAGATTCACCAAGAGGTGCGCAGTATAAAGAAGTTGTCTACGAAGTTGATATATACGCCATTCCAAGTATTGAAGGTAAATGGCATTCTCCGCGTGCAATTTTGTAAATAAATATATGTACATATTTTCACACTTAAAGCGTAATTTTCCCGTGCTCAATAGAGTCAAAGACTAAAGAAACATAACATGAAATAGAAGAGTCGATTCTATTCACTTACTGTATTTTTATACCCATGCTATTAGATATTATGATTTAGACAAGTATTTTATAACACACTCAAGGAAGATTCGACTACTCCATAATATATATTATTTTTTATCAGTTTACATATAAGCTATCGGACTATATAACCAAAAGCCCCGATTTATTGCTGCTGTTTTATTGGTAAAGCCATAATTCACACAATAAAAGAATAAAAATCGGGTAGCGACATCTGGCTAATTTTATTCATATATATATATATATATGTTTGTTTCTTTTATTAATTTAGAAAAACGAGAAATCTACTTTATAGCTATTATTGATGTCCTAACGCAATACGGTGTCAAGAAACAGGTAATTTAAAAGGAATTAAATGCTGGGCGCTCAGTGAAGGATTGCTTACTATAGATATAAACCATAAATAATTATACAAATTGTAAAGCTCCAGCAAGAGTCGGTTTTGTTCGTAAATAAAAAGTGAAATTCTTCTTATTGTATTCGGCACCATCACTGAGCGCTTGGATGGTTGTGTTGGTGAACGCACACATTGATTTCTTCATCTTATATTTTAAAATTTTAGGCGGCAAAAGCAGCAAAGACCGTTAAGTATGGTAGTAACGTTGACGGAATATCGACATGTGACCCAGAACAATATGCCAAAAGATTCTTGGAATTTATGGATAAAGCAATAGAATAAGATATCATCAGATATAATCATTGTATTTGCCACATTAAAAATGTTAAATTTATACATATAAGATAAACACAAATATGAGACATTATAAGTATACCTCTACATTAGTAGTTTTTGCGTCCCTTAATCAATCTGCGATCCCAGGTGAAGTGTGCTTGTACATTTTTTCAGTAAAACGGAAGAACAAAATCGAAGAACAGAATTGAGATTATCGTTGACTTTCACCAAAAAGCCGCACTCCGAAATTTCGTGCATTTTTATACCCGATACTCAAAATGAGTATAGGAGTATACATATTAGATTTGTGGTGACAGTGGATGTCCAGAAAGAAGCGTTTCCGACCCCATAAAGTATATATGTATGTTCTTAATCAGCATCAATAGCGGAGTCGATTGAGCCATGTCTATCCGTCTGTCCCTCTGTCCGTCCCTATGGGCGCCTAGTGCTCAAAGACTATAAGAGCTAGAGCAACGATATTTTGTATCCAGACTTCTGTGATATGTCACTGTTACAAGTATACTTCAAAACTTTGCACCGCCCACTTCCACCCCACAAAGGGCGAAAATCTGTGGCATCCACAATTTTAAAGATACGAGAAAACCAAAAAACGCAGAATCCGTAGAAAATTACCATATCTTCTAGACTGCAGCATCTGAACCAGATCGTATAATTATTAAAGCCAGAATGATGAAAACTATTTCTTTTTTTCTCGCTCTGTCTCTGTCTAACACACACGTTTCAAGGTCGGCTTTGCCTATTGTGAGAACCTATGTATGTAGATCTCAGAGACTATAAGAGCTAGAGCAGCAATATCCTGCGATATCGGACCTGCACATGTTTAATTTATATATTAATTTTCGCCCCCGCAAAGGACGAAAATCTGTGGCATCCACAGATCTCAGAGCCTATTAAGGCCAGAGCAACAACAATTTGGTATCCACACTCCTGTTAGATTTCACTGTTACATATGTATTTCAAAATTTCGCCCCACCCCCTTGACCCAATATTGAAGGTACGAGAAAACTAAAAACGCCCAATCATAAAGATTGACCATATCTACCAGTTCGCCGGATCTGAATCCGATCGAATCATTTATATAGCCAAAAGGAACAAATCAATTTTCAGTGGCTACGCAGCGCCCGAAGACAGGCGTCAGACACGTTTTCTGTCTCTCCTGCACGCACTCTTTGTCGCTCAATGTAGCCATACTGACTGTATGTATCCGGTATAATTGTAGAGTTGTTGTCGCAGCAGCAACACACAACGTTCCCCTCGTTTACTTGTCCATCCTAGGGTTTCCCTAAATGTTTTTCGATTCGTCTAATTTTTTTTTGCGTCAATGAATCCGTTTCTAACAAAAGTACATACTAGATTTTTTGATGTCATATTTATATAATTAAAAACAAATATTTTTCCAAATAACACGTTTTTCAACAGATATTTAGTAATTTCTCCAAAAAAGGAGAAAAAACAGTACAATTTGAATAACGATTTCTTTAACCAAACTAAATTTTTTCTAATAGGTTTTTTATTCTATAAAAAAAAAACAATATTTTTTCAGAATATTTTTTTTCAAATTATAAATTTATTAATATTTCGTGGTATTCCCCACGGGTTTTAGTACACATTTGACACTGAATCTTTGATGCTATCTCGATCCTGAGCCTTGTTTAATAATAACACGATCTTTCCTTAATCCATTGTTAAGAGTGGAACACAAAGAATTAATTAATAATTAATTTAAAAAAATCTAAATTATATTGAGTTTGTGGACAAAATTTAGTTTTGGTTGTGAAAAGTTTTTTTTTTTTAATTTTATTTCTTTTTACGTTGGGTTAGAAATACCGAAAAAGACTTACAGACGTGTATTTTTAAAAAAAGTTTTTTTTTCTAAGCGTATGACTATGATAAAAACCAATTAGTATGGACTTTTGGAATTTAGCTTATGCCTTCTTTATAAATAATTTTATTTTAACCCAACCTCAAATTTGGCTCGGAAATAATTGGTAACAAGTGTGCTCGTAACATGCGCGTAACAGAACATCTGGGTAAGGCCAGCTTTTAATTAATTAATTAATTTTTTGACCATTAGCAAAATAATTTCCAATAAACATTATGTTACTCACAGTTCGTCTGAAATGTTAAATGCACATCTAAGATGTCTTGATCTTCTTATCTCGCGCTAAGAACGGCTTCCGCCGTCGATTTGCTTCAAAGCAAGCAATTGAAAAAATAAATGCTTTTTCATCGCTGCATATTTTTAGCTGTTTTTGTTGCCAGAATCGATGAGAAAATGAAACATCGATAACATAAATTTGTGAAATTAGGAGCACCTTAAAACGAAACGTTAAACGCTAAATCAAGTGAACAAGGAAGCCTGCCTGAATATGGTAAAAACATTTGAATTTTAGGCAGAATTGAAGTAAATATACATAATTTTTTATTTGAGATTTAAAAAATGTGGGTTCGAGTCCGCAAGACGGATTGTTGATTAACAACAAAAATAGTACATGTAAATTGTTTCAAGACTTCATTACTAAAATGAGACAAATCAGTCAAAATCAATATTTTTATGGATAATACATACGACGAAACGGTTGACTTGATACCGTGGGATAGGTGGCGGATGAGTTTCACTGTTATTCATATTTTCAAAGCGTTCTCGAATTCTGAAATTATATTTTAATAAGCAATCGCTGCGTCATTTTATCTAATGTCGGTTGGTTCTCACGTTTTTGCACTTTCTAGTGAATCATTGGAAACCTGTTGAGAATATATGTCTATTCGCCCTTCGCTGAACTCACGTTCCATTTCGGTGATCTGCCATTTTTCAAATTTCGCGCGCAGTTGCTTAGCCCGAGCTGCTATCTGAGCCTGCAGTATATGTGATTAAATTTTTTTTCGTTTCCATTTTCAAGATATCTTACCTCTTTGAGGGCTTGATCACTGCAACTTGATTTTGGGGTATCTTTTTCAAATTCACTTTCATCGTCGTCACTGTCCTGCTCCTCTTCGCTTTCAGATCTATCAGAGTTATAAATATTTTCGGGTGGGGGAGTGAAGCATTTAAGTGGATTGGGTTTCCTCGGCTTATCGACGCCATCAGTGCTTTTGCCCTCTAATTCGCGAAACTTGTTTAAAATGTTCGATGCGGTTTGAGTTTTTTGCAGAACAGTATCGTTAAAAGACGAAGTTTTTTTTGCATCTGACAGGTCAGCGTCTGAGTCCGGCGTTGGCAATTTGACAACGCCATCACGTGGTGGTGTCATGCGAAACTGACGTTTTTCATTCTGGATTGGTCGAAATTTTTCGAAAAAGTTAAACCTTTCACTTAACTCAGCTGTAGTTACTTTAACGTCTTCTTCCTTTGCGTCAGATTTAATAATATCTACATCGGGGTTCTAAATACATATATATTTTCTCAGGTTTACTAATATTTTTTTTATATTTTGTTTCATAATCTTACCTCTTGTTCAATATTTTGATTAGGGATAATCAGAATTTTGTTATAGATATCTGGTCTGTTATTCTGTATTTTATTCATTCCATTGACGTTCGTGTTGATATTTGCATCTAGTTCCATGAAGATGCTACGCGATGTTTTACTAATAGCTTAATTTTTTAAAATAATTGTATTAGAAATTAAAAGTAGTAAAGTTCAAAATTTATACAACACAATTTAAGTATTCATACCAGACTCGAAAACATCTGCATCTTCTAGCAATCCCAAACTGTGGTTCCTTTCTTCTTTGGATTGAATACTGTTTTCACTAAACATTTCACCGTTCTCAAATCTATCTTTAATTGAACGAGCTGCTACACCGATTTCCGAATCCGGTATCTTACTCAATGAAGTGATTCCTTGTTCTGATTCAGCAACAGCCTGCTGGTACATTTCTTTTATCTTTGCCTGTTTGCCCATAAATAGTCGAGAACGAATGCTCTGAATTTCCTGTTTTCGTTCTTCGCGACGCTCTTCTTTTGCCATCATATGACCCCGTTCAAATCTGATTTTAATATCATTCATTGCATCACCCAAGCCCATCGGCCTCTCTTTATCGGTATCTTTTTTAACACGCATTAAGGTCATGTCGCTGTCATCATCATCATTATCATCTTTGAAGATTATAATTAGTATAATATTTGCCACCTTCGACAGATTGTTCAAATTTACCTGAATCTAGGATCTTGTGGTCACCAGTGTCGAGTAGGCCATTTTTATGCAACTTCGATAGTTTGGAAGAAATGGACGTACTTTTCGTAATATTTGAATCCTGGCGTTGTAGCGTTTGAATATGGTCATCATTGTTATCAGTTCTATATCCATTTTCAAAGACTTGATATCTTGAGCGGACATTTAGTTGTTGAAGTTCCTCAAGTCCAAGATTCGGCTTATCGGATGCTACATATTATATACAATTTTCTCAGTATAATGTAGAACAAAAGTAAAATAATATTTTACGAATGCAAATGTATATGTATATGCATATGAAAATGTATATGAATATACACAAGAAAAAAAGGCTAGCTTTGAGAGAGTGTACTTTACATACCCTTACGAAGCGCATAGCTATGATATAAGTATTTTAAAGTGTGGATTTTAAGCCCAAATTTCAATCCGTGGGGGAGTCTGCTAAAACACATTGGAATAGGGAGAAAAAGTGCGCGAGCAAGGAGATCAACTTTGTGGTGGCGTTTTCTTTATTGTGCCTATAATCATAATATCCGATCGAAACCATTTACGATTAGCATACGATTCTAACGCCAAAAGATTCCGGTTTCTCTAGCTCTTACATTGTCTGAGATCTAAGATTTAGACGATACGGATATCTGGACGGACCAATGCATGCCACGTTTCTAATCTTGAAAGAGTATTTTAGAATTGGGCAGATGCATATTCGAATCCATAAAAGTTTGTTTGCATAAACATTTCAGTGTTGTTAATCAGTGTTTCCTTTTATCCCTTTACGTTAGAAGCCTGTTCGGATTTCACGTAAGTCTGTATTACAATTACCTCGTGCGACATCTGGGGGTAATTCAATAGGTTGATTCTCACGTATTATAAGCTCAGGTTTGCGTGGCTTAGATTCTTCATGAATTATTTTGGGCGCAAAGATTAACTTGAAGTGAACGGTGCAGAAGAGGTTACCATTATGAACATGATAGCTCTCAGGTCTAGATACGATAATAAAGTAGAACCATATAAGCAAATAGAGTAGTATCAAGTGCTTTTTTATATTAAATACCCGCTACAGTTTTTTCCCTGGTAACCCGAAATAAAATACAAGCTAAGCATCTGTACTATATTTATGTACATATATAATATAATACCTAAGTAGGTCTATATATTTCTGCTATATTCGCCAGTGCAAATGTTTAAACAGACGGGGATACTGGCTTAATTGCTATTTTGCCTTTTACAATACTCGAACATACACCAGTAAGATATATATCGTCACTATTACTTGCACAAAGAAAGCAAATTATATTTTACAAGGTCTTAACTATCCTAGTTTTTAGGCTTATCCTCTTACAGTTATGTGAAAGAAAATTTCGTTAGTATTGCTACTTGTTTTCTTTATTCTTTTTGTTTCAATCGCAATGAGCTTTGTCGGTAATTCCCATATATACACCTTAATGACAAAACTAATTCAATACTATCTCTAAAATTTGTTCTACCATTCCGATACAGAGATCTGGTTGCAGTTTTAATACGTTTTTAAGGTCGAATTTCCGTACCTTATACAGGGTTAAAAAATCACAAAAATACAAACTTTAGTTGTTTCGAACAGTCCCTGCAACGTAAGCAGATTTTATGGAAAATAACTTTTTCCTTTTTAAACTGGAGAATGGCTTCCTCCATTTTATATACAGGTTTACCGCATTGCCGACAGTTTTCCCGCTGCTCTGTAGTTGGATTCTAAAAAAATATACACATGAAAGAAAAAAGTTTCCAGTAGGAGGGAATTATATGAATATATGCATGAAGGTCTACTTAGTGCTTGGAAAGTTAAAATGTATTTTAAAAGACGATTATGAGATGAGTTGATTAATTAATGAGTGCTTACACGAAAAATTTCTTGGGCTTTACTAGAATCTCGTGAACGTACGTGAATAAGATTGCGTTTTTGCAAGTTGTCAAATTTACTAAAACTTCTTTTCTGTAACATATTAAACTTTTATTATTATGGATGAATTACATTTTTAGCATTATAGTAGAACCTTACCATTGAAATGTTTTGGTTGTCATAGTCACACTTTTTCGGTCTTTTCGATTTCGCTTTTTTAATAGGCATTATAATATTGCCAGAAGGTAACGAGGGAGTTGTAGCAATACCATTTTCATGCTCCATTTTATTCTCCTAAAAAATGTTTGATATTTAATTGAGCTTATTGGTTTATTTGCAATATGTTTTTGCTTTTTTGTTTCTGAAACGAAAGCGACGTGGCTCCGGTAACCGAAATATATATTAAGCGAAGAACTTCTGAGAAAACTTTCTAAGCCTTGTTACCTTTTTAAATATTCAAGTAACAAGAAATGTTCTTGTTGAACTAATTGATATTGTGTAAACTGAGAACTAAAAGTTGTTTCTGCGCTGCTTAAAAGAAAACGAGCTGAAGTTTCAGTTGCTTTGTCATAGCTAGTCCGAATTTCATACAAATCGGATCTTTTTACCATATTTCTGATATAGAAACGATCGACCTGCATGGTCAAGAATTTGTATGGGGTATATACTTAAAGAGTATAGGGGTATATTAGATTTGTGGTTAAAGTATGTAAAACGCAGTAGGAAGCCTTTCCGAGCAGATAAGGTATAAATATTATTGATCAACATTAATAGCCAAGTCGATAGAGATTTGTATGTCTGTCCGTCGGTGATACTAAGTCAGTATGGCTCTCCTCCGGCAGACGGCGCTAATATTAAACGAAACGACAAAGAGTGCGTGCGAGAGAGACAGAAAATCAGTCTGAGCGTGACGTCGGGCGCTGCGTAGCCAGTGCAAATTGATTTGTTCCTTTTGGCTACAAAAATTATCTGATCTGATCCAAATTCAGCAACCGGATCATTCTCTATGATTCTGCGTTTTTAGTTTTCTCGAATCTGCAATATTGTGGATTCAACAGACTCTCGTCCTTTGTGGGGGCGGAAGGGGGTGGGGCGAGATTCTGAGATATACGTTTTAAAGTGAGATCTAACAGAAGTGCGGATACCAAATTTGGTTACTCTACTCGCCCTTTGTGGGGGCGGAAGTGGGCGAGGCAAAGTTTTGAAATATTTTTGTAGCAGTGACATATCACAGAAGTCTGGATCCGAAACATCGTTGCTCTAGCTCTTATAGTCTTTGAGCACTAGGTGCTGAAGGGGACGGACAGACGGACAGACATACATGGCTCAATCGACTCGGCTATTGATGCTGATCAAGAATATATATACTTTATAGGGTCGGAAACGATTCCTTCTGGACGTTACACACATCCACTTTTACCACAAATCTAATATACCCCAATACTCATTTTGAGTATCGGGTATAAAAAAACCCAAATTGATATTGCACATTAAACGTATATGAAAAGCTTGCCTTGCTTTTTTCCCTTTTATTATCAGTGTCAACACAATTTGCGCTCAGTATCTACTATAAAACGAGGGGGAACGTTGTGAGTTGCTGCGGACACCGCAACTCTACAGTTATACCCGATTCTAAGTCAGTATGGCTCTCCTCCGGCAGACGCCGCTAATATTAAGCGACACGACGAAGAGTGTGTGCGAGAGAGACAGAAAATCAGTTTGAGCGTGACGTCACGCGCTGCGTAGCCACTGCAAATTGATTTGTTTAATTTGGCTATAAAAATGATCTGATCTGATCCAGATTCAGCAATTATCTATAATTCTGCGTTTTTAGTTTTCTCGAATCTGCAATATTGTGGATGCAACAGATTTTCGTCCTTTGTGGGGGCGGAAGGGAGAGGGGCGAAATTCTGAGATATACGTTTTTTTATATGGACGTTGACATGCAATGACTGCATCTATCAAGAGGCGATGCAATTACTGCACCGTCAAGTGGCCCGTGTGACACCAGCAGAAGGCTGTTACGCGCGGATCCCAGGCAAAACGCAGCCCTCCTCCCGCCCAACCGACCGAGGGGCGCTGCCGCATGACGCGCGGTGCGTAGCCGAACCAAACGCGAGCATGCAAGAAAGATAGATATTAGGCTAACATTCGAGGAAAATTAGCACTAAACTTATTAAGAAATTAAGCATGCAATAAAATACAAAATACAAATACCACTACAATTACTAATTACTAGAAAGGTGTGTAAGGATTAGTAATTTAATAAGAGGAAGAGAATTAGTGGAGGATATAATAGGTAGAGGGAATTATAATCCGAGCATAAGACCCTAAACGGTTCATGCAAGGAATAATTCGATCTACAAAGTGGAAGGAACAACGGTATAAAGTTTCTAGTCAGTCTAATAGGAATCGTGAAGTTTATGCGGCTCAACAGATCAGGGCTGTCTATGTCACCCCTGATCAAGTTGTGCATAAATATCACACCAAGCATTTTTCTATGGTTAACTAAGGATGGGAGGTTTACTAATAGTAGTCTACTAGAGTAAGATGGGAGTCTTACACCCGCATCCCAGTTAAGGCCCCGCAGAGCAAAGAGTACAAATTTGTTCTGTACTGATTCTATACGGTCCTGGTGTACTTTGTACTGAGGGCACCATACACAGGAGCCGTATTCTAGGATCGGACGAACAAGCGAGGTATAGAGAGTCTTTGTTATATAGGGGTCGTCAAATTCCTTTGACCACCTCTTTATAAACCCAAGCACGCCCATGGCCTTATTTACCATGGTAGAAATGTGTTCGGAAAACTTTAACTTGGGGTCTAACATAACACCCAGATCATCCACCAGGGTAATTCTCTCAAGAGAACCCCCAAATAGGGTGTAGGGAGCCAACAAAGGGCTAGAACGATGAAATGTCATAACTTGGCATTTCGAGGCATTGAGGTGTAACAAGTTCGCACAACACCATGACTGAAAGCTATTGAGATCGGATTGCAAGCGAGAATGAAATGAAATGTCCTTGTACTGGACACAGAGTTTAACATCATCCGCATACATAAGTACTCGAGAGTATGTTAATACTGAAGGCAAGTCATTAATAAAGAGTGTGAAGAGTAAGGGGCCTAGATGGCTGCCCTGTGGTACTCCCGAAGAAACCTTTACTGGTAAAGAGAGGGAGTTTTTGAAGAGGACTCTTTGAGACCTAGAACAAAGATAGCTACAAATCCATCTCAGGAGGTTGGGCGGCAACCCTAAAAGGTCAAGTTTATGTGCTAAAAGGGAATGGTTTACAGAGTCGAATGCTTTACTAAAGTCGGTGTAAATAACATCCGTCTGTAAGTTACCTTGAAAGCCTTTAATAATGAAAGAGGTAAACTCTAACAAGTTCGTGGTGGTTGATCGCCGCCTTATAAATCCATGCTGAGTTGGAGATATAAGTGACTTGCAGAGATGTTGCAAGTGCGGAGTTAAAACCTTCTCAAACAATTTGGGAATAGCGGATAACTTTGCTATACCTCTATAATTTTTTGCATCAGACTTGCTACCTTTTTTATGGAGAGGAATTATAAACGATTCCTTCCAGATTGGGGGGAAGCAAGAGGAATCAATGGACAGGGTGAATAGTTTAAGCAATGGTCCACACAGAGCCTCGGCGCAGTACCTGAGTACACAACCTGGAACCCCGTCTGGACCCGGTGAAAACACCGGCTTAACTAGTCGAAGATCTTGAAGTAGGGAATATTCATTTAACAAGGGACTGAAAATGCCGTTCGACCTCGGTAATCTAGTTGACCAGAGTAGCGTTCCTCAGAATAGGTGGTTTGGAAAAACTGGGCAAAAAGATCGGCAATTGCCTGATCATTATTTGCCGACGTATTACAAAATGATAGCGAGGATGGGTGTGCGGACGTTCTACGCTTACTGTTTACGAAGCAGTAAAACTGTTTAGGGTCCTGAGAAAAACGTATCCTGCAACGAGATAGGTAGTTCTTATAGCATTGAGCATTAAGAACTGAAAAGTTGGACCGAGCTATTACATAACGAGAGTGAGAAGTAGGAGAACCCACTTCTTGAAATTTTTTATAAAGTCTTGATTTTAAGTTTTTTAGACTGGATAACTCTTTGGTAAACCAAGGGGGTTTTCCAGATCTAATCGGACAAGAAAGCGGGACACAAGAATCAAAAAATGTGCCAAGAGCATTGTAAAAAATGGTTGTGCCTTTTGTGACATCAGTGCACAAGTACAAAGCGGACCAATCAAAATCCCTAATTAGGTTATTAAGCTTCGCAAACTCGGCTTTACGAAAGCAGCGGACACGTTCAGGTAGTCTACTCGACCGATCCAATACAGTTGGTCCTATGTCTAGCGACACCTCGAAAGTAGGGTGGTAGGTGTCTTCAGGTATAGTGAGCGGAAGGGCTCGGGTTAACAACAGTATGGTCGGATCCGATACAAAGCATAGATCAAGCAATCGACCCAAGGAATTTTTCACATGAAAAATTAATAATTTTCAAAACAAATTGGTATCAGACCAATGTGCCAGACAACGCTCAAAGCGGAATTGGTAAGAAAAAAAGAGAGCAGAGTGGAGAGCGGTTATAGCGAGAGCTACTAGACAGAGAGCGCTATTGCTCAGAAAGTTGAAAGAGCGAGAGAGAAAGAACAGTTATTGAGGTTGAGGTGATAGCGAGAGAGTGATAAGACAACAAAAGCTACCAGACGAGAGCGGACTGCAATGCAATACTCACTCACTGCAACAACACAACACAACACAAGCCGACGCCGAAAAATAAAAAGTTAAATAATATTTTAACACAAATCAAAAGGCATGCACTCGCGTAAATGAATAGGTTTCCAGATTGTTGTCTGGTTAGAAAGTATATTTAGAATTTAGTTAGGAAAACTCCGGCTGTTTATTCGAAACAAAAGGAAAAAATGCGGAGCGCAAAACAAAAACACGTCTGATCACTACGAAAGAGAACGGATTCTTTTTATATAGTTTTATAGTGACATCTTAAAGGAGTGTGTGTACCAAATTTGGTTACTCTAGCCTGAATAGTCTCTGAGATTTGTGGTTGCCTCAGATTTTCGTCCTTTGCGGGGGCGGAAGGGGGTGTGGCGAAATTTTGACACAAACCGGTCAAGGTCCGATATCACAGGAGTGTGGATACCAAATTTGGTTGCTCTAGCTCTTATGGGTTCTGAGATCCTTGAACTCATATTTTGCAATTGGCAAAACCGACCATGAAACCTGTGTGTTAGAGTGAGACAGAGCGAGAAAGAGTGAAA